CTTGCCAACTTCTCATCAGTGACCTCACTTCTAAACCAGGCTTCTAAATCATGCTACTCAGCAGCAGCCCTGCTCTGGTAAATACACCTCCGCAACTAAAACCCAATCAATCCCAGAATGCTTCTGGAAGTCTTTTAATCCCTGGACTCTAGATTTCTTAAAACTCTATGTGAGGTCAGCAGTTTTCTTTATTCAAAGAGATGGTGCCGTAGAAGCCCAGCTGTCCTGTTCAGCAAGTAGCATGTACATTTTAGTGTGAGCACTGAGCATGGCCTCCTCCTTTGCCACTGTCGCATTTACCCAAGATGTATCCTTGTGCCCCTGGCTTTTGTCATTCTCACCCCCAGGGGCTCTTCTTCATCAGGACCTTCTCTGACCTCACTATGTGACATCCACCATGCTCTATCATGCCCCACTTTTTGTGAGTGTATACATGTATGTGTTCATGTATATGTGCAGGTACATATGTGCGGGGGCACACATAAGCATGTATGCTCATACATGTGGAGGCCACAGAACAACCTTGGCTGTCTCAACAGGTAATGTCCACCCTGGGTTTTTTTTTGAGACAGGATCCCTCATTGGCCTAGAACTCACCAAGTAGACTAGGTTAGCTGGCCAGGGAGCCCCACAGATCTGCCTCCTTAGGATTGGGCTTGCAAGCACATACCACCATGCCCATTTTTTAAAAAACATGGGCTCTGGGGATTGAACCCAGGTTCTTATGCTTGCAAGGCAAGCACTTTCCAGACTACACTATCTCCTCACCCCTCCATTTCTTGTCCTCACAGCACTTGCCATAACTGCATATCATCCTGTTTTAGTTGAACTCCCTGATTCCCTAGGATGTGCAGTATGTGTAGATAGGGGCCCTGTCTGTCATGAACGCTACCATTTTTTCAGCAGGCAACTGGACTCAATAGGGATGTGAATCACACTGCTAGAGCTGGTACACAATAAGTCACTGACAAAGGACCAGGGAGCAGACTGCCTGGAATACTGTAGGGGCCTCATAATGACCTGAGGAGCAAAAATAAACACCATGTTAGGGAATTGTTTGAGAGAATATGTGAGGATTTTAAGAGGCCAAGTGACAACTACAAAGGAATGTGCGAATGAACTGCATTTCAGGCTCTTTAAAAACATACTTCTGAAAACCTGACTTACACATGCGCTCATGAATGACTGTGGAAAGCACAGGGCAGGTAGGGGCGATTCACTTTCATTTCTGTCATGGTCCCTGAGATACCTTCTCCCAACCCAGAGCTCAAGGAAGCCTTTGAATGACTCCATAGAGACTGGATAAAGAGGTGAAGGATAGGTGGGAATTGTCCTACGTGAGACAGAGGAAAAGAATTTGTGGGGAAATTGTAATTTCCAGAATCTGAGCCTGTAGCACAGTGACTGAGCATTTGGAGAGGCAGAGCCTGCAGGGAGGATGGAGCTCGTGAACGGAGCAAAGTTAGACCAAAGGCACAGGAGGAAGGCTGAGCCTTAACAAAGAAAGTCTAAAGATGTCTTGGCAACAAAGAAAGTCTAAAGATGTCTTGCAAATATGGGAGGGAAACCTAAAAAAAAGATTAATATAAGGGTCAAAATCAGTGTCAGCCACAGAAATCAACCAACCAATTCACAGCTGTGAGAAATACTTTCTGAACTGATCAATTTATAACTGAAAATATTTTAGCTTATTATGTTGAGGAGGGAAAAGTGGAATACTTTGAACTCAAATGGTACAACAATAAATTTCTTAAATATGCTTCAGCTATAACTGAATCTTGGCCAAGAAATATGCTCTTCTTAATTAAAATGGAAATGACTGCCTAAGAGATGCATGTGTCTTATAGGACTGCATGTTCAAAACTGGAAATATTTGCCTCCAGCAGTAAAGGTTAGTACTCGGACATTCATCAGTACGAGAGATAAAAGGCATCCCCCTAGTGACAATAAATGTGTTATAAAAATTTTCTTTTTGGAATGTAAAAGATGTTAAAAGGATATAGGAATGGAAATATTTTCCAAAATAGAAAAAAATGAGAAAGCCTAGACAAGTGATGAAGGTCTGTATAGGTTTGTTATGATATATAAAGGAGACAAAAATAATATACACATAATCTTAAAGATAAAAGGCATCCCCCTAGTGACAATAAATGTGTTATAAAAATTTTCTTTTTGGAATGTAAAAGATGTTAAAAGGATATAGGAATGGAAATATTTTCCAAAATAGAAAAAAATGAGAAAGCCTAGACAAGTGATGAAGGTCTGTATAGGTTTGTTATGATATATAAAGGAGACAAAAATAATATACACATAATCTTAAAATTTCTAAGGTCATAGTTTAGACAACTAAGTTCCAGGGGACTGGGAACATCTCTCAAAATGTCCTGTGACTGTGGTGAGTCATCTGTCCTCTTGTTCAGGGAGGACATGGAGACCCCACGGGATGGACTTGACCCAGTGTCCAGTACAAAGAGGAGGGTCAACTCAGAGGAAATATTTCCTCTATGCTTCCAAGGGAAGCCAGCCGTGGTCAAGCAGAACCTTTGACTTATCTTCACATAGATGGAACTGGTAAAAGAAAGGAGTCAGGGGCTCCTCCCAAGCCCATGTGATCCCTGAGGAACAGATTCTCAAATGACCTTAAGTGTAAAAATAAACTGATTTATTTGGGCCAACTTTACTGTCTTAAACACTCAAAAGGAAAGTATAACCAAAGAGTAAAGTGATCAGTATATTTCTTTAAGAGTTCAAGGGATTATACTTCCCAGACATTAGGCTTAAGTCCATATAAAAAGTTATTTAGACAATTATTTCTCATTGATGATTTTGTTCCTAATCATAAAGTACTGCTCAGATACAAGACTTCAAATCTTGGTCTGCAATACTGTAGTGCCCACCTGTAGCTAAGGGAGACAACAGGCTATTGTTCTAAAATGATAGCTAAATTTGTTTTCTCCCCCTATCTAGAAACCTTTGAGAGGGAATGCACACGGATTCTAACCATTCCAACAGTTATCAAAGTGCCTGGAAGCAAATCCTGAATCCATTACTCAAGTCCAACCTTGGCAGACAAAAGAAAAATGAAGAGGAACCCAATAGAGGGATGCTTTTGGAAGCTCTCATCAAGAAATTCCAATGGACTCTCATATGAACATTTGAAATTTGCCCTGTTCTTTTTTCTAGTTCCCTGTCTAGAACTTATAATGCT